GCAATGCAAGCTGCCATGCGACTTCCCCTTCTGACGTCACAAGGGGAATTTCTGTATGCAAATGAGAAGCTAATGAGGAGCCTTGTTTTAAAATACACAAAAATAAAGTTGCCGTAGACTGAGTTTAAAACACATTTTTTCACTTAAAAAAATAATTCATGCTTAGAAACATAAAAATTAATAATATTTATGTATCAAATGATAATTTTAGGCTTGAAAATAGCAGCCATTTCACAGGCACTTTAATATGTTATGTCAGTCAAACCAAAGTAAATCAAACACCAGGGAGAATGGTTTACAGAAGTGGTTGTTTTAGAGGTGTATTTAGTCTACAGAAATGTTTGTTTACTGATGTTTTGTTTACATATGTATTAAATTAAAGTGTTGGTTTATAGAAGAGTTGGTTCACAGCAGTGTTTGTTTACAGATGTGGTTGGTTTACAGGTGTTTTGTTTACAGAGGTATCTGATTTACAGAGCTATATGGTTTATAGAATGGTTTGGTTTACAGAAGTATTCAGTTTACAGGAGTGGTTAGTTTATAGAGGTTTTTTTTGTTCAGAGGTGTTGGTTTATACATGTAGGTCTTTGGTTTACAGAAGTGGTTTGTTTAATACAGCAGTATGTTGTTTACAGAGACTGTATGTTTGCCACAAATAGGTTTTTTTCACATAATTTGTCTATCATAAAATATCTAAAAATATTAAAGTAAGCTTTTCACTACCAGTTCTTTCTTTTTATCACAAATTCACAAAATAGTCCTGTTTATAGTCTGCACTTCAGAAGACTGAGACAAAAAACAAAAGTAGCCAAATTTTTGGAGTGAAATTGACTAAAGTTTTGTCTGTTGGCTCCAAAATTAGAGCAAAGTTCCAGAAAAACTAAAGAATATTTAAAGAGTGCAGAAAAATTTGGGCGAGAAAGTCTGTTGGGAAAATATTAACAATTGATTGCCATATTTAAAAATCTCCATACGTAGATAAAGTCTATATGATGCCTAGTATGAGTACCGGATTCTGTCGTAAATTTGCCCAGGGCCGTTAAACGGCAGTTCGGGTTTTTGAAAAAATTAAATGGGACCAAATAACCGCCCAGGGCGATTTTTTCGGCAGTTTTTTAAGGTGTTATTTTAATCTTTTCTGGTGCCTAAAAGTTTCGCTGTAGTCATCGACGCCTATTGAAGAGTATTATCGTTCCGACAATGAGCTGTTATCGCTGTAAACAATGTTAAATTATTCTTCAAATGCTCAGTTTATCTTTTGAAAATAACTATTTTTTTTATTTAAAAACAAATCATGCCGCTTTCCCATCAAAATCTAAGCCAAAAGATCGTACAACAACATCGGTAAATCATCGTCTGCACGTACTGCATTCAATAACATTAACATATTTAAATGAGCTATGATATTTTGATCACGTTGGCATCATCCATCGTTTTCATTGGTTAATTATATTGTCAGGTCAAAGAACACCATCACAGGTCAAACATGGCGGATATTCATTTCCACAGCATCGAGCGCTGAAAATGCGAACGGAATCATTCGCTTACGATGAAATAATTTGAAATTTATTTCCATTTCATAACAATTCAACATATTTATTTTTTGCACGTTATTATAATCATTACTAGGTAATAATCAACAATTGTAAAACGCAGCATGGCCGGATTGAGATACCGTGATCATTTGCAATGCAGTTGGGTTCGTTTTTATTTGAAACTTCTTTTAGAATATACTTTCGTTACTAATAAAATGAAACGAGGTTGTTAATGTTATTTTTTTTTGAGAAAATTGCGCTGCTAATTTTCAATCCAGCAAGTAAATCAAAGAAAGCTTAGAAAGGACTCCCGTGTGCTGAGAGTATTGAAGACACATTAAAAATTAATTAAAAATTACTTGTACATGAGATATTGATGGAAAAGCTGAAAACTAATTATGTAAATCAGGTAACTAATATGAACAGAACAGAACAAAAAAATTATGAATTATTATGCTAATTAGAGAATTAATATGAACAAATTTTAACCCAAAATTAATCAGGCCTGTCTATTGTTCTAGAGCATTTATGTACCAAATTTTATTCAAATGTGATGATCAGTAATTGAGATATCAGTGTTAATTAATTATGTTAATTAGGAGATTAATAAGCATAAATATTTACCAAAAACTAATTGGGTTTCTGCATAGTTCTCTTTAAAAGTTTCATTAAAATCCAATTTGTGGTTCTTTATATATCAGTGGAACATTATGCAAATTAGGTAATTAATATCCAATTAAAACTAATCAGGTCTCTGCATAATCCTAGAAGATCTATGTAGCAAGTCTCATTGAAATATGATGATTACTACTTGATATATCAAAAGCTGAAAATTAATTAATTATGCAAATTAGGTAATTAATATGTACTCATATTACCCTAAAAACTATCAGGTCTGTGCAGTGTCCTATGACATCTATGTACCAAGTGTCATTGAAATGTGATGATTACTACTTGAAATATCAAAAGCTGAAAATTAATTAATTATGCAAATTAGCTAATTAATATATACTGATATTATCCTAAAACT